TAAACTTCCTTCTCTTACCAGTGCTGAATACCCCAGAAGTTCCAGGTTCTCCAAAAGGACCAAGTTTATGTTTTTGGGCAGCTGAGCCACTTTCTTCCTCTTGCTTCACTTCAGTGGAACCAGAAGCTAGTATGTAAGTAAGAGAGATGAAAAGGATAGGGTAAAAATGTGATATTCAAAGTTACGTGATATTTGAAATATTCAACTGAACACACTAATTGACTAATGAGAGTGCATGTAAGTAGATCTTGAATATTTTATAAATAGTGATAATCATGAACACTGATTGATTATTAGTCTTACACTGTGGTCTGCCAGATCCAGTTGTAGATGGCTGCGGGCTAGCATAAATCTTGACAAGAAATTAAAAGATCTTTGAATATCTTGGCAAGAAAAAGAAAGATCCTTGAAGATTTTGGGCAGGCAAATTAAAGATCTTTGCAAGAGATATGAATATCCTTTAAGATCTTGACATGAATGTCAAGATCCTTGAAGATCCTGGCAAGGAGATGGAAGATTGTTGAAGATCTAATGGCAAGAATGTTACAGAACCTTTGAAATTTTGACAAGAATAAGAAAAGAAAGCATACTTAAATCCTCAAAGTAAGTTAAAAAGAAAAACTGAACCAAACATAAAAAAAAAGATAAAACTTTTTTTCAATTGCTAAATGAGAATTACCCATTCTCTTCTAGTAGGACTCATTATTATCAACTCAGTTAATAATACTTAATTACCCTACAAGAGGAATTGCCTGTTTTAAGCATCATTCACACAGAAAAATTTGGCATGGAACTCTGACTCTGTTATACTTATCCTTAATTTGTTTTTTGTTTGTTTTTTTTTTGGTTTTGTTTTGTTTTTTTAAATCCAAGTCAATCTAAAAAAAGACACCAACTTTCAACAGTACCTGCTTTATGTCTTGAGCGAAATAGCTACAGAAAGTATTTACTATGCAAATGCACTTTACCAAGTACATAATTCAAAACTTTGCAACACTCTTCCTAACCTTGTGGGTAAGATTATTACATCACAATCAAGTTTATCTTTCCAGAGTACTTACCATTTTAAACTATTTGTTTGAATCAGGTCTATAAAAAATTATGGCAATCATAGGTCCAAGTTGACTCAAGGCTCATTCAACTTTTTACCAGTATACCTGGATTATCAGTTATTAGCCAAGTTAAGGCTATAACATTTAAATTTAAGTAAATTTACCAAAGACAAGGTTCCTCATCTTTATCACAAGACTCTTACAAGGCTCCTCCCAGCTATACCTCTCCAAGTACTTTTCACAAAGAAATCTTGACTCTGAAAGTCGTACTTCTCTCTTTTTCTGACGGACACGCACAATTTCTTTAGCCCAGTCTATAGGATCTTCAGAGTCTACTACACTGTGTGAGCCTGAAGGCACTTCCTTCAGAGCTTCTCCAAGTCCTGAATTACCATTGACAAGTACAGGCAGACCAGCAGATAATGCTGCAAGAGCTGTCATTCCAAAACATCTTCTTGCGAGTGGCATTATTGCAAGATCCACTGTACAGAATAAGTCAGCCAGCACCTCTCTGCTATCATCAAAGCTGCAAACAATAAGCTGATTATGACTAATGCCATAGTGGAGCAAATTTTGTGTTTCAATATCTCCTTTACCTCCATCTGGGCAAACAAACTTGAGTATGTAGGATTCATCTTTCAACTTAGCAATTGCTTTAGCAGCTATTTCGTACGCTGGGTTATTAGAATATATCCAGCTGCATTCAATACTTCCAATAACAAGAATAATGAATGTTTTTCCTTCTTCAGCAGCTTGCTTTACTTCCAAAAATTCAGAGAAAATGCTTGGAGTAAGGTCAAAAACATTTTCCATTTCATAAACTGGATGCAAGTAATGCCTGTAAACTTCTCCCACCTTGGGTCCAACTGTGATAATCATTTTACAATGTTTGTAAAGAATGTGTTCATGATCAGTGCGTTCTAAGTGTTGTAAGTGTTGTAAGTGTTGTAAGTGTTCTAATAGTCTAACTACTTGATAATCAGAGGAAACCACTCTAATCCATTTGCAATGTCTGTAATTTGGATTTGCCTCAATGAATTGAATTGATTGGTCAATGTCAATTCCATGACCAATGACACAGTCAATTGCATGGTTTCTTGGAAAATGTGGCAACCAAAGAAATGGCACTTGACCATGTACTTCAATGAGCGTCACATTGTGATTTTTAGCACTGATCCTGTCCTCTTCACTGCAATTTGGAAGCAAGATACTAACATCCACATTAGTGTGTTTAGCTAACTGGATGGCCAGCTCTCGGTTGAAAGTTGAAAAGTCCCCATCAGTTGATGATCTCCACTCCCTGCTTAGCAAAGTGACTTTAAGTGTCCTGTTTTCCTGGTATTCCTGTGATGTAGAGGCTACACTGGGAATGGTGGAATCCTACAACAACAAAACAAGAATGGTATTGACAATAAGCTGTAAAACAATAATAAATCACAATAATGGATGTCCACTCCATATGTAATGTCAATTCTTTTGTAAACTTGCTGTTGAGTTTTATCCTATGCCAAAAAGTCAGATACATGTAGATTGAGACAAATTTAAACCAGGAAAATATTAAGTTGCTTTAGAGATCTACACTGTCAGTGACACTGTCACTGATAACAACCATCACAGTTGCATGGAAAGTTAAAATTATCCTTAAAGGGCCTTCCTTTTCAACCCTCTTTGAAATTGGTACATGTAGTCTCACTGAAGACATTAAGGTTAAAAAAACAAGGAGGAAATGAATGTTTTTGTCAAAATCAAAGGTTGGTATTTTTGTAATAGATTTAGAATCCTCTTACTACCTTCAGAAGTCTTGATAACATCTCAGGAAGCTTTTAAATTTGAAAAATTATGCTGGAAAAATACAAAACAAAATATGAGTTCACTGTTCATTGAAGCTTTCTACTTCCTCTTAGAGTGTTGTTGAGACTACTTAAGGCAGTACTGGGGGCTAACTTGACCTTTTCGGAAGGCCTTTATTTTCTCACATACTGAGATCATTGTTTAAGTAGCCTATTTGCAAAATTTGGCAATTGGAAAACGGCCCATTTTCGAAATGAGAAGTTTTGTTTCCAAGGAAAAATCTTGCAGGAAGTAGAAATAAGATCCTGATCTAATGGCGTTTGCCGTTCACGAGGTACATCCTTTAGATGACATTTTAACACATCCATTTGATAACCATTTGCTAATAAAGTACAAAGTGCTATCTTACCATGGATGGAACTCAGGAAGCAGCTCTACAGTAACTGACTACTTATACTTTCTAAGAAATAAAAACACATATATTTTCGTTTCATGTGCTGAGTTTCCAAACGTTGCAAATTCAGCACATTTGTGACGCGTCACTAACGCTGGAATCTGAGATTCAAATTTGCATGTTTTCTCACGATAATTAGCGGTTAGAACAAGTTACACATTAGGAGATATCAAGGGGATCTTTATGTCTGAAAGTGGCATCGAACAGATCCTGAAACGTAGAAAAATAGTAATTCCTCAATCGAATACCTTTGATCACAGAAGCACGCGTAAACCGTTGCTGATTGTTGTCACTGCTTTCCACTGCTAAAAACCTCTAACAGGAATGCCCACAACTTTGCCGGTGTACCAATCACTCGAAGACATGATTACGAGCCGAAGAAATATTGAACTTAAAACATGATTGACGCAAACTCTCCCTTGTTAGGATGTCAGCTCCGTCAAAGGGTAACTTTCTGCATTGATTAGGAGGACAACATGGCGTGGGTAACACAACTACAAAACGAACGCGCATGCTCTACACATTTGGCTCTTGCCGACACAGCGGCAAAATGAGTGCGCATGCTTGAAACGCGTGCGAAAATTTACGCGCGAAAAGGAATGGGAATGACAATATTTCCATAGTGACACTATAGGGGGGATATAGCGGCATTTTTACATTAAAATTCATATTGTTTGTTTATATTTCGCGGGGATAAGCCCTAGCCTGAACAGATAAGGTTCCCACTTTCGAAAAAGTTTCTTTCAAACCTGCTCTACAACATATCTTTTCCAACAAAATTGTGAATTTTAGTATCGAAGTGGGGCGGTCGTAACACGGCAATGAACTTCGTAGCTCGTGTTATTGTTATAGCACTTGGTTTTATCGCCTCCTCACTATGGCAAACCGTCCGGCGAAAAGGTATGTTGTTTGAGAGAAAAAACACGCCAAAACTCTTCTTGTAGAGGAAACATAATTTCCTTTAACACTGAAATAACTCCAGTCGCAGAGGCAGAACCAGGAATTGTTGTGTGAATATATTAATGAGCATGTCATCATCAGCAATTCGAAACAGGAGCAACATGTGAACGTGCCTACTACCTTCACATTCTTCCACTCTGAGTGCTACACCTATTCCCACGAGACTGTAAAAACTATTTGACAAGGCTGGAGAAAGTGAGGCTTGTTATCAACCAAGGATACTGTGGTGCACAAGTTGGAGAAATGCCAACAAAACATTTGCCTCGGACCAGGACCACTTTACTTCAGATAATTATATTCAGAGGCTTCCATTTTCTGCTGGATATTCTGGGTTTACATACTTCATAAAGCTAATGATCACCTTGTTTCCATGAGAAGATCAATAACTTAAACCAAAAATATTCATGCAAAATGGAGATGAAGTGCCATGCAAAATTAAGTAGGAGAGCCTAGCAGATTCGACAGATGGTCAATGTAATTAACAAGCTATGGCAGTTAAATGTATGATGCAAAACATACTGCTCTACTATAATTCAATAGCTTAACAGAGTCAGGAAATTGGTGCACAGGCTGGTACATCCAATTTCTTAACATTAATCACCAGACATAAGTAAGTATATATGTACAGGCTAATTAATCAAACAAAAGCTAATTAAACTAACTGTGCAAAATAATAACTTTTATAGTAGATTGGTAAATACATGGATAAAAATACAGTCAGACTTATATACTATCTACCAAGCATATGAAGAAGGTTAAATGTAAAAAAATTTGGAAATAATTATAAAGAGGTATGATACACAATTAAGAAAAGGAAGGCTTTTAAAGGTAGCATCAAGTTCTATCTTTTCCAAATGCCAAAATGAGCATTTCCTGGTTTCATAATTGTAAAAATTACAAACACCTGTTTCAATAAAAAGTTATGCAGTTCAGGAAGGACTGATCCCATTGGTTATCACCTGGCTAACTTAAAAAATGCATTTTAAGTGCTGGAGCAAACTTTTTACCAAAGTGTGACAATTTTTAGCAAAGAAATATCTTATGCACAGTGTTTGATAGAAAACCGTTCCTGACAAATAGTCCCTTTCAATTCATCTTTACACAGCAGTGCTTCTCTGCTAACTCCCTGAGATTAGCATCCATTAGAGCCTGATTAAGTTTCCTCCACGTAGCAGCACTTCCATTTGCCTGCTTCCATTTTTGCAGCATTGTGTATTTCTTTTCATAAAATTCATCATTTTCCTTATCTATTGCTGTGATCACTGGATTGTCAATCTTTAACTTTCTTGCAACTTTCTTCCACACACTAGGATCAATGTCATTGGCCAGTTGTTCTAATTCATCAAGTTCAGGATTGCCTTTTCTCACTACCACAGAAAAAAATTAATTCAAAATAAATGAAAGGTGCATTCTATTTATGGTAAATACAGCAGGGAGACATGTTTAAGCATTTCAACCCATGACATATTTTCTAAAATGCCTCTTACAGTGAGGGCCAATACTGCAGTGGTTTACCCTGGCTTCCATGGAGCAAGCATGTGTGACTACATCTTGTGAAGAGATGCACATCCATTACAACTAATCACCTCCCTCCCCTCCCTTCAACATTTGATCAGGTTTTCTGACAGTTCATCAGTACCCATTTATACTCCTGGGTGGAGAGAGGCACTGGGTGAGAGTAAAGTCAGTCTCACTAAAGAACATTTAACCCTTGACACCCTAACATCAGTATCCACATTCTCCATACTCTTCTCTAGACATTTCCTCTGGTACTGACAAGGAGAATTTGTCTCACAATCAAAGCTTCTTTGGGTGGTGATCATTTCTTTTATTCTCATGACCTTAATGAATGATTCAGCCAAATTACTGTAAGGAGAAATTAGATGCTGGTCACTCTCAGGGTTTAAGGGATTAACCTTTAAAGACCTACCCAGGGCTGAAACACAGATCCCTCAAACAGGAGTCCCCTGAGGCACCAAATTAAGTGAGCAAAAGATTTCTTTGAAGCTGCAATTCCTCAGTCTCCAAACAGGTGTTTTATTCATGCACATATTCACATCATCCCTACAAGCCTATATTAGAGTGAATGCTAGCTATGCACCTGAGACCCTCATGATAAAGTGCCAGATTGCAGTCTAATAAACTGCACCCAGACATATCTTAATTAGTTTTCTTGTGTGATTAATTGTATTTATTTCTATACAATAACTGCCATATACAACACTGTCAATAAAAAAAAGGAAGCAGAAAAACTTAGTTCAGCCAATTTAAACTGATTTATGAATGTCTTGATCCTAGTTTTCCTTTTAGTGATCCTAGTGTTCCTCTTAGATCCCTGTTTTCCCAACTAGTGCTGACCATGTGGCATGTCATGTGCAACGCCATTCACTGCTAGACCACTGGACACCAGGTCTGCTCCAGTGATGTAACTGCTGGCAGCCTAGAGCAGCAAGTCGCTTGCTACACAACATTGTTAAACTCACTCTACTATTAGAAGTTTTGTTGAACAACAAATGTGACGGACCATGCCACTTATGTCTTTGAGGGAATAGTACTATGTAGCAATTGTAAACCTAGTACTTCAAAAAGGATTGTACTATGCAAAATTGTTTATCTCTCTTTTAAAGAAAGTTACAGCTGGCTAGTGTCATGCCATGCACGACCAGCAAACATAAGATAACTGATGACCAAATACGCCAATTGCCATGGCAACCAAAAAAATTGCAACTTAAAACCCTGCTAAGTAAAAACCACAAATGATTACTCTTGAGTAATTTCTCCACAGGAGAATTTAAACTATGATCATAGAAAGAATTAATTCAGTTAATTCAAACTGATTTATGAATGTCTTGATCCTAATTTTCCTTTTTTTTTAAAAAAAATTAATCATCACGTCAGCAATTAAGGGTTGGCGCTAACCCCTGGGTAAATCACATTTTGCCTAATTAAATCCTGATTGGCCTTTTTGCTTTTCTTCTGGTTGATGAGGCTATGCAAGTTAATGGTTATTTACAATTTTTGGGACCAGATTGTTCACATTGGTCCTGAGATGAGCCCTGTCAGGGGAGACTTCTCAATCTTATACTGGTAAGTATACAAATACATATCCACACACACATTCCTCATATTATCAGGTATATATGTTGAATCAAACTGATCAGAGTTGATTTATGTTTTGACAGCTATTGAGAGGTATAACTTATTGTGAGTCCTTAACAATTTATCACCAAAAAAACTATTGTGAGAGAGATTGAAGGTTCTTCAAGTCTCCAAAGAAATTTTACTTGATCAATCCTTAAAATATCATGCTATTGCATAATTAATAAACTGAAAATGTAATTTTCCTTATGCCCTTACCCTTAAACTTCCTTGTCTCACTAGAGCTGGATACTCTAGAAGTTCCAGGTTCTTCAACAGTATCAAGTTTAGGTTTTTTGGCAGCTGAGCCATTTTCTTCCTCTTGCTTAACTTCAGTGTAACCAGAAGCTAGTATGTAAGTAAGAGAGGTGAAAAGGTTAGGGTAAAAATGTTATATTTCTTTGAGTTAGCATTTCCTCTTGCTAACTAGTTTGTCTAAAGAACTTAAGTTTAAGAGATTTTGCCTACAGAACTGGCATAATTTGTTGTGCTTTTCAGGCAAAGGAGATAAGTGCTAGGCAAGTGCAGATCATGCATGGGTAGGAGTGCAAATAATAACTCCTCCCCTTGAATTTGTGCTTGCCTCATGCTTGCCTCAATTCTACTGAAAAAGGCAAAAGAATTTAGACACCTGTTCTTCAGGCTAAAATATGGGTCCTGGCATAGTAAGCTTAGACAATAAGTGATTCATTTTGATCTATTGAAATAAAATTTACCCAGTAACTGTCAGGCAGTAAAAACAGCAGGCTCTTCTGGTCAGAGGCAATGTATTTTCACAAGTTCAGGCTCATGTGGAACAAAGCCTTCCCCCATCCCACCCTTCTTCACTGTTTCTTTCACAGTCAATATTACAAGTGGTATTCTACAAGGGGGAACCAGGCTGGCTGCAGTGGCAGCCCCTAGGTATTGTTATTGGATCAACTAATAATCCCCTAATTTATATTTCTCTTTATTCTCATCACTTGTCTACTTGATATTGTATGGATGTTAATTGAGAGGAGAAGTTCTGTCTTGGTCTCTCATGGGAGTTGAAGGGTTAACAGGATAAAACTGAAATACTAGCACAGTTAAAGTCATTTGTATTCTCCATTGGCATGGTAACTATCCATATAATTATAATTTGTTATAATGTTGATTCTTGTTTAAAACTTTATAGTCCAAACTTATATATAACTACTAACATCTTATAGTTCATTGTATAAACTTTCACAATTAAAAGAAACATGCCTGTTTCAGATTGATGCAACCTTACTATAACTACCCAATTGCTTCTGAGATAAATATGTTCAAATATTACCAGTGCTGTTGAAGTTAAGAAGGCCTCCAAGCACTATACTGTTCAAGAATAATTCATGCATGCAGCCCAGCCACTAACCTATCCATGGGTTGCAAATGGCTCTGTGTAGAAAGCTCAGGGGGTGGGAAGGGTAATATATAATTAGTACTATTTTATTGTACTAACCAGCCATATTTTGTCCAGAGGCACATGGTTCATCATCAGACCTTTCATCCTCATCCTCTGATGAACCAATTTCAATCACAATCCTGTCTTCTTCTGATGGGTAGACTGCAAGTTTGTAAAGTGTCAACAACTTTAATTGAATATCTTATATTTGGAAGCTATTAGATCATGCAGTAGCACATGTTTTTGATATAATGCATGACATAAAGGTCTATAAACATTAGAACAGTAAAGAGAATGGGTCTCACCAGCTTTCTGATCACCTATTTTTTCTGCCATCTTTTCTCCAACAGGTGAAATTTTCTTGGTGTCTTGTATTGCAGTTTCTTTGCTGAAAATGCAACATGTCATTGTATTATATGGAAAACCTAAGATGTTTCCACAAAATATAGCTCTTACCTTTTAACTAGTATGTATTTTAATTTTCTTTTTGCTAACATGGAGGTCAATGCATTGTGAGGATGGATAAATGTCCACAGTGATGAACAAAATAAATTAACACAGCTAACAAGAACTCTTAAAGCATGCTGAATCTTTCATAAAAAATAGCATTTTAGACAAAAAAAATCCACATGAAGTGAATGATTAATCCTCCATTTTAATCCTGGGGAATTTGTATTTTTTTGTCAGAGATTAGTGGCTAGTAAACTCTCTTGTCATTTATAACTTCATTTATAAGATGCTTTAAGCCTATCTGGAAGAATTGATGGAGAACTAAATGATGTGTTTGGACTGCAGAATAAAGATATTGATGCTGATAAAATAATCCTCACACCATCAGAAACAGAAGAAAATGCTAACCATGGTATCCCTAAGAGTGACTTAATCTAGCATTTAATTTCTCCTCATAATATCACCCCGTAAACCACAAATTAAGGGTAATCTAGGATCCAAGCAAAAATTTCTTGCCTCTTCTTTGCTTTGTAGCCATCTTCACTATCTCTCTCCTCCTTCTTTACATCAGCAACTAATTGAGGGTTGGAAAAAGAAATTAAAATTTTTTACACCTTAGTTGACCAAAATCAGTTGGGCATGTAATTAATATAAAATTCAAATTTTAAATATCTGTAAATGAACAAGTTGCTCACTGAATAAATACTTCCCAGAACCCACTTTTTACAATTACTTGAAGGACAGTATTTTTACTCTCTGATAGCTTTTCATATCAAAAATTAATTAAGGGTGGAATTAAAAATCACCTGGACGTTATTGTGTCGTCAATAAGGTCAATAAGGCTTCTACATGCTGAGCTCTCAACTCTTACACATTGAGCGTGAAACTCATGCAAACAAATTCAAACCAGGCTCTCATGCTGAAACTAAAAATTTGTCGCTCATTTAAGGTTTCAGATGTAAACTGTTGATTTACTCCTTGTTATACCTTTGTACTTGCTCTCCAACAATAGAAATAATTGAGAGTAGTTCAATTTTTTCCAAAGCAGCCTTTCGGCAACCTACTTAGTTAAATCAAGTTGCACGAAAAAAGGAAAAAGAAACTTTGTGTGATAAAAGGATGCAACTAGTGCTGACAATACCACTTATGTCTTTGAGACATAAAACCAAGTATTCAATTCCATAAGGATTCTTCTATACAAAATTGTTTATCTCTCTTTTAAAGAATGTTACAGCTGGATTGTGTCATGACATGCATGACCAGCAAACACAAGATAATCTATGGCCAAATTTTCCAATTGCTATGGCAACCAAACAGTTCTAAATTAAAGCCCTGCTTAGTCAACATCGCAGATGATTCCTGTGGAGTTATGTGATCCTGCAAATGAATTTGAATCATCATCATATGGATTTTGCCCCTTAAAGTGATATGTAATAAATAAGTTTGCTGATTACGTTGTAACAAAAGTGTCTAAAGAGATACAAAATTTCCCTGGAACAGATGTAAAAACAATCTGGCTGACAAATAACAGTAAATCCACAGATTTCCAACAAACTAAAAGTAACACTGTTCCTTCACTCTAAGAGTAAGTCACCTTTTCGTAACTTTCCAAATATTTGAGAAGAACCTGCATTTGATGCAAACTGGTTTGGATTTTCGGCAAGGTCTCTCAGAAAATGGAAATACCCTTATTAGGGTATTCAAATTGAAAATATCCTAACTATGACATTATATTTTCCAGGAATTGTGTTCCTCAATAATTAAAAAAAGTCCAAAAAAAATTGGTATATTGATTTAATTGAAATGTTTTGTACCTGCTCTAGGGCGTGTTTAAAAAATAGATAAGTGAGTAATTACCAGCCACTTGCTTTCGAGCTGAAAACCTTTTGCCTCGGGACTCTTGTTGTATTTCCTCAGGATGTCCTGTTAGATGTCAATAAAAGAATAACACAAAGATAACTATTTTCAAAGTATCAGTGTGACTGTCATTCATCTACATAAAGTAATTCCCACATGAGTAAAACATGTTGATGCAGGTGTACTTCAACTCATATCATCACAAGGGAACTAAGGAAGTAAAACCTGTAATAGTGTTAAGCCTTGTAAGTAACTGTGATTAATATTTGATAGAAATTTTTTGTGGCGAGCTTGTTATCTGGTGTAATTTGTATGTCCATTTTAAAGGATTGGTGCCTTTGAGCTTGCAAAAATCAAACATCTTTGCACTAAAACATACATATTGTACTGAAATCAGCAATGATCTAAATTTCACAGATACAAAACAGCCACTAATTTCTATGTACTTTTTAATGTTACTCTTATATTAATTCAAGTCATGGTGCCTATTTCAAAATGATAGCAGATTTGTGCTAATCAGCTACTACATACTTAAACTGAATTATTTCAAATCAGGTAAGACATATGAAATTAATATTTCAACCTGAATGCAAGGTCCTAAGCTTCTTCACAAAAGCAGCACATTGGTCCCGCCAACAGTATTTCTCTTTATATTTGTCGCGTAGCATGCTTGCCTCGTCTAATCCAGTTTTCAGATTTTTTCGTGCTTTCTTGATTTGCTCAGCCCAATTATCTGCTTGATCTACTATGCATTTGTGCCCGAAAGGTACTTCCTCTAGAGCCTCTGCCAAGCCAGAATTATGGGTAATAAGGATTGGTACACCTGCTGACAATGCCTCTAAAGCTGTGAGACCAAATGCCTCTGTACCCGAAGGCATCAAAACAAGATCCACTTCCAAAAATAGCTCCGCCAGTTTTCTTCTTTCTTTGTAAATACTTCTCACAATCAGTTGACTACGAGAGATCCCAAGACCTTCCAATCTCTCAGCAAGTTTCTCTTGTTCTCCCTCGGGGGCACCAACAACTTTGAGAATGTATGATGGCTCGTACTTATTAAGATGTGCCACAGCTTCGGCAGCAACATGAAGACCTTCAAGTTCAAAGTCTTCGGTGTTCCCTCTGCCAAACACTAAGATTTCAAAGTTCTTTGAATTTTGGCATTGCTTCTGCTCATGAAAAGACTCATCAAAAATGCCAGGTATAAGATTGAATATATGATCTTTCTTACACTGATGCAGAGCAGAATTAAAGGTTTCATTGAGCTTAGAGCCAACTGTTAAAACTACATCAGCGTTTTTACACAATTTGATCTCAGTTTCATGCTGTTTCTGCCCTTTGGAAATGGCACCTGGGGTTTTCTTGAACATTGCCATTTCTTCTGCATTTTTCAGGACCACATGCACCCATTTACAGCTAAGTTTATTCTTAAGGGCCTGTCCATGACATCCAGGCTTAATGCCATGACCAATGATAAAGTCAGTGCTAAATCCTTGTGGAGGAAACTGCAGACAATCAACTGGTTCATAGCCTATATAATCTTCAGCTGCAGGTTCAAAAACCTTGATGTTATATTTTTTAGCATCTACTTTATCCTTCGGACTGGCACTTGGAATCAAAATACCAATTTCTGTATTTGGTAGTCTAGAGAGTTCTATGGCCATCTGTCTCATGAATATAGCTATCGCTAAGTGCCAACGAGCAACCAATGAAAAGTAAAAATACTCATTGGTAATGTTAAAAAATGGAGTCATGTTTTGTGGGTGTAAATTTTAGTAGTGAAGTATTCCAACCAACGTGAAATGTTTTAAATTTTGAGGTGAATATGGTGAAAACGAAAATAAGTTTCTTGATTTTACATTATTGCAATACAAAAGTTTGTGCTGCAATGATAGCCAAGTGTGTTTTCTTCCCTTTCTAAAAATTATGTGTAAAACTGAATAATATAAGGTAATACAGAACAAAAATGAACCCACAATAACAACTCTTAATTGTATATGAACTGTAACAAAATATTTCTGAATCACTAAATAAATTTTTTCTTCACAGTCATTCAACTGGGATAGCACAACTATTAAGTTTGGGATGCATGGGCCAGTCTGAGATAACACATGCTACATCAGTATTAAACAATAATTTTAATTTTCCAACATCGTTCGAGACAGTCACACAATGTTATTGGACTGTTCACACAGAATGAACTAATCAGAGTTTACTTCTGGACGTTTAAAGGAAAGAACTTTGTATTGTTCATTGTTTGGACATTGTTGACCAAACAAATATTTTCTTCGAGACAATATAAGATAAACTTCAACGTCATTAATTTTATCCTTAATTAAGGGATGTATAGAGCGAAATCTCTAACACATGAATCTAAACTGTAACAAAATATTTTTCATTCACTGCTATAACGTTCCTCAAAGTCAAACACCTGGGAAAGCAGATGCACATCTTTTAGCTTTGGGATGCATGGGCCAGTCCGAGACTACACATGTTACATCAGTATTAAACAACAATTTTAACTTTCCAACGTCCTCCGAGACAATCACACAAGGGTATTGGACTGTTCACAGACAATGTGCTAATCAGAGTGTACTTCTGGACGTTTAAAGGAGAGAATCTTTGTAATGTTTGTTGTTTGGACATTGTATACCAAACAAATGTCTTCCAGAGACATAAGATAAACTTCAATGTCATCGATTTTATCCTTTAGGGATAAGGTTGATCCTGCCAGCAGGGTTTCTAGTTGCTCAGTGAAAGCCTGGATCCACATCTCTTTGCTGTTGTCACCTTCTGATTCAGTGATAGAAATTTTTGCTGAAGCCTGCAGTTTGATATCTCTTGATCTTTGACGTGTACCACAGTTTTCACACTTCAGTGTGGTGCAAGTGAATGATTCAACATCATTTAAGCGTTTTTTGCACACTTTGCAGGAACAAAAGATGTTTAGCTTTGACACCAAATTGAATTCTGAAGCAGTTACTTCCTTTTCTGGACTTTTGAGCATATCTGGTCCAGTCAGGGTTTGCACTGTTTGTGTTGTAAGGTTTGCTGTTGTGTTTGGCGATGTACTTAGATACGTCGACCCTTGGAAATTCTTTACTGTCAGGTTGGTGAAGCAGTATGATTTACCCGTTGTCAAGGTATGGACAAGGGGTTCCCAAATGTGAATCATTGATGACCCAGTGTTGTCCTCCAACACGCAATCTTCCTTCACATGGGCTGTTGCTCCAGTGGATCTGAGAACAACAGCCTTGAGGTCTTCTTTTCCCATAGTGAGGGAACCACTGACATTGACTTTTTGGTTTGGGTGCAAACCTTTTACATTCGACACAGTAACTGACTTTGCAGCACTTGATTCACCTGCACTTTCAAGCTTTGGCTGCTCGGTGTAACAAAATGATACATCTGACAAGCCTGCTTTATGTACGGCAGATTGTTGATTGAAAATACATTCATTGTCGTCTTTTACAATAATGTTCTTGAGCTGTACTGGGCTCTTGGTTTCCTCAAAATGTTTTAAGGAATCATGGACATAGAGATTAAATCCTACCAAACGTTTCACTTTAGTGGGTGAAGTTTGAAGCTGAAATTCATACCACTGATGCTTTGACTTAAGGGACTTCTTAATTGGACTGAGGTTGTGAATAAACCCATGGTCGTTTGCTGCAAGTAAACAATTAAGATGGTTAGAATATGCATAAGAGAATTATGTTTGATTGGCATGGTAATGTCAAATAATTTGGGGGTTGGATATTTCAAGAAAATGACACATTGCAGGTAAAGCTTGAAATATAAAGGAGTCAGCATGTACTCATTATTATGAGTGAACAACAATAACCAAGAACAAAATTGCCTCTACCTTTCACAGATACAGTAGTCAGGTGCTAGGGGCTGAGTTGCTGCAAAATAACAGGGACACCAGTTGTCCCTGTTTAGTCTTAGACTACTTAAAGGGGCATGAATTCTGTATTTATAAGATAAAATAATTATATTCAGTACTTACAATAAGTCCTTTTGCTTGCCATCGTCTGCAACAAAAAATGTTTTACAAATTAAAAATACATCACACATAGATACATATTTTATTGACTTTCCTCCAGAGGCTTTTCAAAACAATAATTAAATCAAGTCAAACAAAGAAAAACAGGGGAACACAATAATTGGTATTTGGATGTCTTGTTTAGCTTTTGGAGAACATGCTTACTGTATTAAGTCAAAGTTACTCATGATGACCATTTTTAGAAGCATTTAGAGATAAAGAATCAAGTCTCTTTTCTTCAATTAACCTATATTTCAAAAAATTTGATTTTTTGTAAGCTTGCAACCTTTCAAATGTCATTGGCTCAATTATGAGATCTTGGAGTCTTTTTACTCTACTAAGAGCCACATATGTCATACCAGGTGAATTCTCTGAAGGGCCGAGATCTATCCATGCTTTTTTAAGAGTCAGACCTTGGCTTTTGTGAATAGTCATAGCCCATGCTAGCTTTAAAGGAAGTTGTTGTCTTTCACATGTGTGACCTATGTTTTGTGAAATTTGGGTTATTGGACAAATTGGAACGCATCTTGGAACACTTGCAGTTAAAGAAGGTCCATTATATTGTTCATCAAACTGTACAAGAACACAAATAGGCAGGGCTGGAGGAGTTTGCCCATCAGCATATACAAAATCTAATACAGTTCCTAGTGCACCATTACAAAGACCAACTTCTGTCCACATGTTCATAGTGAGCATAACTCTAGCACCTTTAGCTAAATATATGACAGGTTCTAATCCTCCCATTTCATCAGAGCTAAGTGTTTGAGCACCACCAGAATGACGGGCTTTGATTGTTGCTATTGGCTGGTTTAGATTTTTTAATTTGATCAAGTTCATTTCTGCAACTTTTGCCTTCAGATAGGATAGCCTTACAGATGATGTTAGGAATTCTTCAATATTTGTTACATTTTCAGGAGTTCTAGATAACAATGTCTGCCAATCTGCCAAAGTGGATTCTCCATTTCGTGCTCTAATGAGGAGATCTCTAAAGCAGCTGTGGGCATTAGTTTTGCCATCAACTCTATGATTCACTGACAATGTGACGACTTGTTTGAACTCTTTATATATGAGGTGACCCTGAATCTGTTTTTCTGATTTTGGCAAAGAATGGAAAAGTGGTTTATCACCAACTGGGGATAACTGTGCTATATCACCGACCAGAATAACAGAAAGACCACCAAAAGCTTGATCAGCTAAACCTGTAGCTTGCCTGCATCTACAATCTATCCACCCAAATAAGCTCTGGCCAACAAATGAATATTCGTCTATAATCAAATACTGAATGTTTTGTAAATTAGTTTGAAGTTGTTGCAAAGCTATTCCTTTCAATTCGAAGAGTCTTTTTGAACCAATTGGTAGTTTGAGGAAAGAATGCAGTGTTACACCCTTGACATTAAAAGAGGCCTTTCCAGTATATGCTAGTACTTGACATTTTTCCTTAAGAACATTTCTTACAGCATCAATAACATAGCTTTTTCCTGAACCTGCAATTCCTTTAACAAGTAGATGCAAAGGCAGTTCATTACTGCTGTTGAAGTGATTTAGAATGATATGGTATGCCAACAATTGATCGCTACTAAAACTTGAAATATCTATTACTCTTGATGATATGTGCCAACTTGGTTCATTTTTATTTTTCTGAGTATTTAACCAAGAAGTAACAGAAAGTAGATCAACATCGTCAAAATGTTCACTAACATTGTGCCAATATCCTTCAGGAGCTAACGTCGAGTTATATTCAGTATCTGTGCTCAACTCCTGTAAATTCAGTTCTGACATAAACATCCACTCTTCCTTTTCTTCCTCTATAATTTCCATGTTTTCATTTTCATTTTCCAGATTAATGGCTGCTTTTAAGCTGCTCAATTGCAATTCCCAGTCAGGAACACTGTTCTTCCCACAATCACTACACAAAAAGTTCATCCAACATGCTTTATAAGTTTCATCACACTGTTCAAGATTGTCCCATGCATTGTCTGCTACATGTTGCCAAGGTTTATATTTTAGCAGTTGATATTTACAGAACAGCCCATACTGCTGATTTTGAGGATTTGAAGAAAATTTGGGATAAGTTTTAACTATTACAGCTTGCTTCCTTTTCTCCAGTTTTGAGTTTTTGCTTACAAATGTGGAGGTAAATTGCAAAAAATTATATGTCAGTATGTCTGGAAATGTCTTAATAAACTTCTCTCGTTCAGCATAAATATCCAACATGGATGGGATTGTACAAAAATCCTTATTTTTGGACACCTGTACTCTTCGTGAACCATCAAGAGATGTATTTATTACTTCATGTGTTGCACTTACACATTTGAGTGAGAGTAAATGATGCATAACTTCTTGGATTGAATAATCTCGTTGTCCGACACTTTTGATCATAATTTGCTTCAAAATGTTATGAATGTCACTTTCGTCCGATGCTTTACTAATTACATTGGTGAATGCATTATTTAGAACTGAAGAAGCTTTTTCTCCTTTTGATGTGTATTTCACAAGATATTCCAAACATGCCACATAATCTATAATAATTTGAATATCACAATTTGCCCTCCATCCTTGGAGCTGCAGTGGTTGGTGACGATTTAATCTTGAATCATTTCGCTTAGTAACAATGGTTGCTCTATACTTGGTTTGGCCTGATTTAGTGTTTATTGGTTCAAAATCTATTCTTGTCTTTGGGCAATTTTCAAAAGGAAATTTGAATCTACAGGCTAATTCATTTTTGCTAGTTTCCCTTAGACAATACTTAGTACTGCACATTGTATGTCTCTCAACAGAGTTTAATAAATTCACATAGTCTTCCTCTTTTTGTTTGCCATTCAAAGACAGATACTGGGTTTGACATGGATGAGAATGGGTCACAAAAGAGTTCATGAAATTCAGGCCAATGGTACTCAGCACAAGATAAAGTAAAAAATATAGTAGGCGGTCCTACTTGAGCAATGGTTGCTCGCAAATCCTCTTTAGCTTTGTGCCAATAGCTATTGCTACCAGTAACATTTTTAGCATAATGCATAAGTTTTGACATTAAAGTAGAATACGTATTTGTTTGAAGCATTTGTTGAAGTTGTTCTACAGTTAACTTAGCTTCACCAGGGTTTTGCTTTAAAAAAATATTTCCCTGACTAAGGAGTCTGTGCCTCTGAATCATGTTGAATGCCCAATAAGCAAACCGTGGGTGACTTGCAAACCTATAAGCCCATTTACCATTATTATATTCAGCAAATTTAATCAAATGTTTTATTTTATCTCCAAGGGTCACATCACGCATTGTAGCACTGTTAGTAGGATCTCCTTTACCATCTGGGAACAAAGTAGGAAATGCCATAGTAGCTAAATATTCAATTTTAAACTCATTGAGAGGACTTGAATTCCTATTAGGCCAATTGATTTTACTGTTTTGTAATAACTCATCTTTTATCAGCTGCTTCTGTGGCTTTAGTTGTACAGGGTTAAGAATTGTGCTACTCAATTCTGTGTCTTCATTGAAAGGTATTTCATCAAGAGGACCTCTGTCTGGATCAATTTCATCATCTTTACTGTTCTCAGTACAATAAATTTTACGCAGCTCAGTGGGAATGCCAT